TACCAGAGATTGGTTCACCAAAGAAAGGTGGGACAAATTTATTTGGTAAGTGATGTGGGATAACTGGTAACTATCAAAAAAAACTCTTTCTACTTCTGAACATTGTAACAAACTGAATTTCAGATAGTTCAAATATTTAAAAGTAAAACATAAAATATAGTATAAAAAAGACATGATAGAAACTTATTTTTAAAATTACTTATCACGCAATGGAAAGGCCTTTTTAAGAATAACCAAAAACAAGAAAAAAACCCTCATGTGTTATTAATGAGAAAAATCCATAAATTCAAATTCAAAAACATTTTTGCATTCAAATAAAATAAAAAAGACAAACAGCACACACCGTGGGAGGGAGGAGTACATTTCCAACTCAGTTCTTAAAGAGTTAATTTCCATAAAGAATAACCAGCAATGTTTGTTAAATTTTAAAAAAATCCATTTGTCACTCTTTGACACATTTCTACATCTAGTAATCTAGCCTCACAGAAATGCATTGATGGGATAATAGTAAATGATTGTTTATAATAGTAAATGATTGGGAGACACAGAAATGCCCATCAAAAGAGGAGTGGTGAAATAAAATTATGATAATTGATATAGTGAAATTCCCTGCTGCCATCAAACAGAATAAGGAATCTCTACATGAATGATGTAGGAATATATATGTATAGATCTGTATATGCATAGATTATCTCTAGAACAATAAATAACAGTGATATTTCTGAGGAGGATATCTGGGTAATTAGGCCATGGGACAGAAGGGAGACTTACTTTTCATGGTGCACATTTTTTGAGTAGTTTGAGTTATAGTAATAATAATTTGAATATCATGTGTCTATTTTACTTGAAAATAAATTCAGTGGTATTACACATGCATTATATATACATATGAAATGTAAGGAAAGACTTAGTCTTTTGTAAAAAGGTGTCTGATATTTCTATTTAGGAAAAATATAATATTTAAGTTGCTTTTTTTAAAATATGAAGGTAATCATTTAGTTTTTCACTTCCTGATATGGAACTATTAATTATGAAACCTACAAATTGTGATTCTCAATTCCAACAATTGTTGAAAACACAAATTAATGCTAGATTAACAAAATGACTATTGTATGTTTTCTCTCACTATTGAGATACACTGGCTAAGAAAATAGTGTTAACTTATTTCTATGTGTCATTACTGAACATTATATACAGTCTTTTAATAGAGTAATTTCATGGTCATTTATAGAAGGAGCAAATGAGTTTCCTTAATTTTCAAATGATTTAGTTATCAAAGACAGTCATAATTAAAGGCCTATTTTGAGAAATAAGGGTAGTGACAAACTGAATAATAGCAAGTAAGATTTACACTTGAGTATTTTTACATTAAAATGGATTTCATTCTAGAAAGCAACATACCAGGCCATAAAACCAGCTATCCAATGTAAAAGTGAGGACATACTTTCATGACAGATTGAAACAAATATGTATGAAACCTAACAAAAAGTTTTGTTAGATCTTTTTTGTCATATATATTGTCATGAAACAATATCTGATCTTAATTTGTGTGAGTTAGCTCAGCAATTATATAATTTCAAGTGATACAAAATTTATTTTTAATATAGCCAAGTAACACACCCAGAAAAACAAACAATATCTCATGAAAGAATACAACCATTCCTTTTATTATTCTGGATCAGTTACACTTGAAGAAATTATTTGTACTTTATATTTGTCATATCAGGTTATTAAACCAATCAGGTAGTATGAAATGAAATAGCCTAATATTTAAAAGAAATCTATGTTAAAAGGTTTTCCTTTGTCACTAGAAAAATATTTTAAATCAAACAATAATCCTACTTAGACAAATTATGAAATGCAGCCACAGAAATATATTTTGTCATGTACAATAGGTGTTTAAATAAATATAAAAATAAAATTTCAATGGATTAGAATAGCTTCTGCACGCTGAGAGGCCATTTATGTTTTTAATTAAAAAGAAAATAAAATAGATATTTTTAAAAGAGACTTTGAAGTTATTTTGTGTGTCTACCACTTAAAATCTAGTTCTATAAAATATAATTTTTCTTACATGCAAGGGATGCAGAGGAAAATACCATAATTTAACCATTGAGGGGCTTTAAAAAAAGACAATATTTCCATTGTTTTAAATCAGTAACTCTGTGAATTAAAAGTAAAATAGAAAATTGACACTACCTTAAAATTTTTTCATAATAACCCTAAGATTTAGTGCTTTCCCCAAAGAATATATAAGTAGAATTACTGTTAATATTTTGTCTTCTAAAGTGCATATTTCTGTATAAAATGCACAAGCATCATTTACCATGTATGGAAATAACTTTTTTAACAGGTTACAATCTTCTAAAATTTAGCAATTCAATTCCAAAACTGAGTAGGGGCAAAGAGGTTGTTGTAGGGAATAAGGTCAACAAGATAGAAGACAAAGTAATACAATCAAAAATACATTGGGGGAGGGAAGTTAGATAAGTACATAAATAAACATAAGCTAAGCTAGAATATAAATGTTCCTCTATGAAAAATACACTGAAATATTTGTGGGTTCAGAGATTTACAACAGGTTGAATGGAACAATATATGCTTTATAGAAGAGATAACATGTTAAAAACCTGAAATGGGTGGGATTTCAGTGTATAGCAGATGGAGGAAAAAGACATTGCAAGTGGGAGGATGAACAAGGCACAGTCAATGAAAATCTGTCTTGTTATAAGAAAGATTAGTCAGCTTTGGTTTGCTACTTCTAGCTGCATATAGCAATTTCATAGTTAACCTGTCAGGTTACTCAAGAATTTATAAACATTTTATTTTAAAGCCTCTATAAATAATTAAAACATTAAGGTTTCTATCAAGTTATAAATTCATAATATAAATTCTCACTTAATTTGATAAAGAACAGCTCAGTATCCAGAGATGAGTGCATCGTATTTTAGTATTTTTATTTGTATTATTACTCTAAATTAGAGATTCACCATGGTAACTGATGATTTAATATTGTAATGAATCAAAAGCACAAATACATTTGTATATAACTAAAGAACAAATAGAAATTCTAATGTGAATTTAAAACTTGATGGTCTTGCTTTCTGACAAGAGTTTTTAACATTATCTACTCTAAAAATATAGAATTGGCCCCTAGAATGCATCACTGTGCTTAACTGTATAAAGGCAGACATTAATGCAGTTTCTAAAATGAAATTATCTGTCTAGTCCTGTTTCTTATCAGAACCTCTTTTGAATTCAGATAATTAATCAAATTATATAGCAGATAACAATGTTCTTTTCATTATTTTCTCACTAAAGAGTAATACAAAGAGATTACTTTCACTTTAGAAAAACATTACGATTGGTTTATCTTTGATGATGATCTTCTGAGTTTAATCCCCAGTAGTGAACAATAAATATCTCAATAGCTTACCATAGTGCTGAATGATTTAATGGGATATTAGGCAAATAAACTTCCCTTTCTCAGATGACTATTCAATTCCCTTCTTATTTCTTTTAAATTAAACCCATGTTAGTGTTATTACTTACTGTTTATCACCTTAGTTTCCCTAGAATGGAAATTCCTACTTTTCTTACCATCCAACTTCAAATGAGGCCTTCAGCAATATCTTGGCATGAAAAATAATAACATTAGATGTTCTCCAAAAGTGAAATATTAAGAAAGTTCTAAATATCTTCCCAAAGATAGGTGAAATCTGGGGGATGGAGAAGTTTTAAAATAGATTAGGAAACTGAGTTAAAACATACACTACAGTAAACATAAGGCTAAAAGGGAAGAAATGAGAAATACTGGGAATCTTAACCAATATCCACATATTAAAACTAAGTAAAATAATATTTCTACTTACATGTGCACTGACATATGGGAAAGGTGTTAGCTAAAGAAAAAATAAACTGCAGCTGTATTCATTGAACAGTACAATAAAACAAACTGTTTTCAATATGATATCTGTTCAATAGCAAGAAATAAAGAAGGGAAAGAAGCAGGAGAGAAGAGAGAGAAAGAGAAAGGAACTTCCTAACTAAAAATGAAGCAAAACCAAGCCTCTTCTGGCACTGTAATGACTGTCAGTCAAGATAGGATCTAAATAATCTATTCAATTTGTTGAATATTTACTACCACGCTTGAGGGTGGGGTAGAGAGTAGAGCTAGCACTTTTTTTTTTTTCAGTTTGCACCTTAGATGAAGTACTACAAAGATAATCTGAATTATAGTGTAGCAGAATAAAAGATTTTTGTCCATATTAGGTCCTATCTATATGTTCAGAGACAAAATGCTAATATTAATACTTATGGCACATAGAACTCTATTTTACCCACACGAAGGACCCCAAGTTGCATCCCTTCAACCTTTGTAGATAAGGTATAATCTAACAGGACTAGGACCCTGTGATTTTCTCTGTAACCCACGCCATATCTCATTCAAGGAATGAAACTGCACAGACCATTGGTCTGACCAAAGTTTTGCATATCAGAGAGAGAAAGCACATACATATCCCTTAATAATTTTAGGCTTCTATACTCCTCTCTGATCCACTGCTGGTATTTGTACATGTCCCAATAGCAACCCTTCCCACTTCCTGTCATCTAGGCCTAACAGGTAGAGGGGTTCAGGAAGTAACAGAGATGATACACATTCTAAATATCAATGAAAAGAATCAGAATTTGAATTAATACAGTTACAATATAGTAGCTGTCATGTACTTTACAGATTATAAAATTCCAATGATACATTGTTGAAAAATATATAACAGTACATTTTAATTTTACTTGTTCATGTGTATAGTTTCAATATATTGACTAATATCAAGAATTAGTTTGCAGTTTGAATAAATCATTTCTCACAGAAGCTATGAGATGATAATTCCCATCAAATTATTTCTCTGTTATATACCTGCAAGCTATTTGTGCTGCATTCTTAATAAAGAGTTCATTGTTTGAACTTGCAATAATTAGGTCACACTGGAACTCTTAAATCAAAAACAAACTTACAAAATTCTCTAGTTTTTATTAACTACCGAACACTTTAACATGATTTACATTTTTTTGCAGAATGGAATATTTAACGTTTCCTACTAAATTAAACAAACGCTAACATTAAAGTAGGTCAGACAGAAGCCATTCAAATTATGTTGACAACAGCACCATATCTCCTACAGTTGTTTCTGAGTCCTGACTGTGGTTAGAGCTGATACCAGTGTCCGAGTCTGTGTCATTTGAATACATGTTAAATACTCTTTGAGTAAAAGGAGGAACCTCCCCACTGCTGGTAGGGACCTCAGATTCCTTTCCTCTGTTTTCTTTTAGCTGGCATTCATCTTTGTTGCTAATATGAAGGGAATTGAACTCCTTGGCCAGGAGCTCATATTCTTTAGCTTTCATCTGAAGCAATGAGTCACTGTATTTAATCTCTTTCTGGATGCCACTCAAGTAAGAGTGGATTTTCAAACCAGCTTTCATGCTTTTCTCCAAATCACACTTAACACTTTCTAAATTAGAGCCTTCAAGTTCACTTGCAGCTGCCCCTTCTGCATCTTCATTTATCTCTGTGCAAATACTTTTTACCTCTTGTTCTATTTCGGCAGAGAGCTTATCAATGAGCTTTCTATAATATGTTAGTCGTTCCTCCAGCTGTACAATTCCATCACTTTCTCTCAGGTCCTCCAGAATCTGGTTTTCATCATACTCCAAGCCTAGTTTTTGCTCAACTTCACCGAAACTGGGCATCAAATATGCATCCTGGACATAATTTTCTCCATCATTTTCTACCCGGTTGAGGTGGAATTTAGCTTCACACTTTTCAATTTCCAGATCCAGCTCTTTCATTCTCTTGACTTGTTGATGAATAGTGTGATCCTGGGAAATAATCAGATGAACTAATGTCTCCATACTATCTCGCTCTTGGGAAACTGTGTCCTGCTTAATTTTAGCCAGTTTCCGGAAAGTTTTTCTGACTATTCTCTTTTGCTTATCTGGTGGTAACGTCTTCATGTAATTTGCTGGGCTGAGCTCCCACAGTTTTTCTGTGTTTTGCATTAATTTGGCTTCAGCTGTCCGCCACAAGGGAGCTGGAAGAAAAGCATCTGCTTTAACCAAAACAAACTGCATATTAGGCTGCTCATCCCCCCATGCTTTCCAAAGCTTCAGGATTCTTGTTAGTGGGGGAAGAACCCGTTCAGAGCCTCTCCACTTTTCTATGATGCAGTAATCACTGGGCTTCCCCAGAAGAAATCGTTTCTCTCCAAATGTAGTCTCGTGTTCCTCAAGCAAAGCCTGGATGATGTCAGCAGAGGTGGTGCGTTTGGTTAGCCCACAGACAATCTTCTCTTCTTGGCAAACCCAAACCACAATTTCTTTCTCTTCTGAATCCATGTCTTTAGTTGGAGATCTGAAAGAAAAACAAAGTACATTATATTACTGTCATCACCTGTGTATACTCAGAAAGATGATTTAACTTTAATACCCTTTCTAGATTTTACCATTAATGAGAGATGCATTTTGAGGTTGAGACTACATAAGAATCAGAAGTTTTATGGCAAGAAAAAAAAGTTAAGACCATGAAAGATATCTTAATTTCCTTTTTAATTCCTAGTGGGCTCTGGAAAGAGCAAATTGTCATCAAAGACAACAGAGGCTATTTTATCTTTAGAAGTCAGCCACAATATAACTACAGTTAGAACTGGCAGAGTTAAGACAAGAATCAAAGTGGAGATTAATGAGAAGTAGAATAAGACTGTTTTGCTGGAGCCTTAGGACTGGGGAATAACCATGGAAGCATAAGTAGGATGTTATTAAAGTCATAGAGCTGAAAATAGTCCATTACTGAAATTAGTGATTATTTAATTCTACGAGTATTTATTGTATGCCAACCATGTGCCAGACATATCAGAAGATGCTAAACATACAGCAATAAGCAAGGGAGACAAGGACACAGACATAAATGTGTAATTAATATAATATCAGATAGTGGCAAATGCTAGGAAGAAAATTAAACTGAATGAAGGGACAGAGAATTACTTAAGGAGAGGTCTAGTTTATTTAAAGAGCTTAGGAGAGACTTCTCTAAGAAGGTGACGTTTGAATAGGAACATAAATTCACACAGTTAGCAGTGACGCAAGTGAAGATTCAACCCAAGGAAGAAAGCTGGCTCCAGAGTATATTTCTAACAGATACACTATAAAAACAAGTTTACAAGTTTGATGGTTTAGACGTGTGGATTAAATTGGAAAAACATCATTAACTACTTCTAAAAGAGGAACTTCATAACATAAATTCGCTTTTGATAGCAATGGAACCATAGCACCTCATTAGAGCACCCAACTGGTCAAGGAAGGACTTTTCCCAATGGTCGGCCATGGAGAAAAGTATGTGGAAATGTGTTACCTTCTGTGCCTTTTTCTTATTAATCTTGTTCCTGCTTCGATGCAGTAATAAAGGATTTTGACTGGCCTGGATGCCTCCCTTAGCTGACAAAACTCTCATGTATCTAAAAGCCCTACTGCTGTCTCCTTAGAGTAATTCCTACGTCCTGTTCCATTTTCTGGCTCGGGAAACATCAGTTCTGGGTCTGTAGCTAAGGATGACACATGAGTTATAAAGGCTTCAGCTCTACACTGCAGCTGTGAAGACTGGGAAGCAGGGATCAGGGAGTCCTTATGTATACTAGAATAATAATAAGGACCTACATGACAATTCCCCAATACTTCCAGGATCCCCGCTCTAATTGGGATTCTCTTGTTTAGGAAGGAGCAAGTTCTTATATATTACAGCTTCCACTAGAGATCTGCTAGTTTTCAGCTCATGTGGATTATGTAACACTGACAGTCATTATGCACAATCAAGAAAGATATTATTATTTCCATATGACATATGAGAAAATTAGTGCCTTTATTAATAGCCTCACAGTCCAACTGGTTCCAAACCCCTTTTTTAAAAAAGTCTACTCTAAACGTCCTTGTATTTTCTTGAGTCAGTTATTTTCTAAATATTTTGAGGAATTTTTACAACCATCATTCAAACCAGATAATTTTCAAAAACTTCTGCCACTTGACTGAGCATGTTTAAAAGTAATGACCATTCTTTATTGAATGTAGGCAATAAATCTTCCATACCTAGTATAAACTTCATCATGTTTAATTCTACTTTGTAGCAGGCTTAGGATTTTGAAAACTGTGTTTATTTTATAGTATGGTTCCAATTGAGTTTTTATTCATTCATTCATTTGACAAATATTTGCCAAGCACCTCCTCTGTGTTTGACACTGTCATGGAAATGTGGATCATAGAAAGACTTGTATGATTTATTAGACAGTATCCCTGGCTAATTGTGGGAAACACTGCTTGGGTTGGGAAGGAAACACTTACGTGTCAGTTCTAATGCTGTTTCTTATTACATCAGCAGTTCCTAAATGTTAGACTGATGACCCCTGGTATTATTTCATTAAAAAAATTAGAAATATATAAAAGATACAAAATAAATATTAAAAATAAACCAATTTAGGAATCTTATAGAATCACTACTTTTTCAAAATAATTGTTTTCATTTGGTCCCAGATCCATGTAAACCTAGTCATCTGATATAAGTAAGGAATTTAATTCTAGAGCTGGGACTAAATAAAATGCTCCCTTCCCCACCTTTGAAAATTTACTATCTAGTATAAGTAATGACATCCCCAAACACATATATAACAAAGGTTAAAAATACAAACTTACACTAGATAATTTGGTTTGTTATGTAATATAATGTAACAAACTTCTTACCTAATGATTCAAATTTAGCAGTTGAGACATATAACCTCCAATTCTAATGCAACAAAATAAAAATAAACACATCCATTGCATGACTTAGTGTTTGTTTTGTTTTGCTCTGCTTTGCTTCTGTGTATGTTTATTGGAAGGAAGGGATAAAGATTTTTACTGGATCTTAAACTTCCCAGAGAACATACTATAACCACATAAAGACTGAAAAATCATAAAGCTTTAATTCATATAATCGCATATTCCAATAATTTACTTCTAGTTTCTATTTTTATCCGTGTTTTAGTTCCATTTATAAATAACTTCATTGTTGATCTGATTAGTATTTTTTTTCTTTTCATATTTTACCTTTGCTCACTCAATGTTACTTAATGGTGCAAATTAAATTTTTTTCTGTATATTGGAATATGTTTGTTGATAATTACTATTTCCAATCCAACAAAGTTACTTTTATTTTAGAAATTTCTTGGCTTGCAGCATTCTTGATTTTACTTATGTACATGGTAGTTACTAATATCATCCCCATTTTACAGATAAGGCAACTGAGATAAAGACAGGGTAAGTAACTTGCCTAAAGTCACAAAGCTAGAAAGTAGAAATGTTCCTTCCAACTCTGGCTTTAGATGTTAACCTACAACTAATCCCTGAAAATAAATTACAATAGCCATTATGACTACCCACTCAAAAATATTTCCCAATTTGTGAACTGATGACATTTCAAATGTGATTTTTTTTAATTACTTGAAACTCAGTGCATTTTTCCTATAAAATTAAAATTCCACCTTATATAATCAATGAAATCCCCATTTTGAATGCTTTTAGGTAAAGTATAAATTTGGTTCCTTCAACTCTATCATTCTTTTCTTTTTGAATACCCAGTATAAAGGCAAGTATTGAGAGAGTCCCATGTATCTGATTCTGTAATATTAAAGGAGTAGAGACAAAGAGATTCTCAGCAGATGTAAGGTTAACATGGATGGAGGTTGCAGGAGTGGTTCTCTCTAGATACTATTGGAGAAAGTAACAGCAGGTGGACATTGAGATAGGAGGCTATATAGGAATATGATAGCTGTTCACAAGTATAGGTTATTTACAGTGCAACTGGCTACAAATTGGGAACTGCTTGGATTAGAGAATTCAAAATTTATAACTTCTGTGTTACATTATAGGGTAAAAGCATTTACATAAAAATACTACGTTAATCAAAATAAAGTAACTACCACACTGACATTTAATTCACACCAGTTTAAATTTTTAGGTTAATTTGCTAAATGTTCATGTATACAATTCAAAAGTAGATATGAAAGTTGATAAGCCAGAATTTAATCAGGTCATGGTTTCATATAGCAAGGATATTTTCTTTAACATCCGCTTCAGGGAGGCAGAAACAAAGGAGACATAAAATGTTTTAAAATGCCTTGCATAATGTTACGTAGGGTACCTCAAATTTTGCTTATGATCAAAACACACAAAAACCAATAAAGCTTAAGAAATTTTACCATGAAATAGTATTAACAATTGAATAAGATTATGGCTGTGTTTTGTCTTGATTTGAACTAGTTTGTTTATTTCAAGAATGGTTCATAAGAAAAGAGAAAATGCTCTTGATATCTAAACTGTGACTCCCACCAACACATAACTGTTGTACCCAATCATCTTTAACTACTCTTTAGTCATTGGAAACTGAATTAAAAGTAATTTGAAACACTGTTCAACAGGTTTTACTACACATTCTAAATATATATTATACTACATCTATGATTATTTAGTATACATTATGACATTTCTCATGCACATACTTTTAAAAATTGTGTATGTATTTAAACACTTCATTAAATTTGATAATATTAATATATCCTAAGATTCTCATGGAAGAATTGTCTTGTTGCTTAGCATGCTCTGTTTAATTTATTTTAAAATAGTTTATAATCACAAAATATGTTTGAAAATTATTTACATATACAGAAGAAAATAAAAAACATTCATAATGCTACAGTATCCTTTTTTTTTTTTTTTTTTTTTGCTGTACGTGGGCCTCTCACTGCTGTGGCCTCTCCCATTGTGGAGCACAGGCTCCGGACGCGCAGGCTCAGCGGCCATGGCTCACGGGCCCAGCCGCTCCGCGGCATGTGGGATCTTCCCGGGCCCGGGCACGAACCCGCGTCCCCTGCATCGGCAGGCGGACTCTCAACCACTGCGCCACCAGGGAAGCCCTACAGTATCCATTTTTATCTAATGCTTTAAATTCTTTTTTTTTTCCCTCTGAAACATTAACAAGATTTATTTGTGAAGATTTGCAAAATAGATATGGTGGGAACAATCCTTGATATTTTAAAATATGATTTCATCTTAACTATCACTAATTCATTTTGAATTCTGATAAATCATTTTTTTCCTACTCCCCTGTACCCTTCACTGTAATACTGCAGTATATATATATCTGACTCACATTTCTCACAAGATTCCTTCAAATATCAGATAAGTGAAAGGAAAAGAGTGCTTTGAAAATTGTGAAAAATGTACTGGCTAAATATAGGTTATTAACTCTAATGGTAAAATTACTGTTATTATTACTTAATGCAGAGAAGGGTATAGTGTTTTTAGTATTGTTATTCAGTAACTTTACTGAGC